ACCCACGAAACCACAAGATCATGACCTCAGCGGAAACCAAGAGTCAGATGCTAAACCGACTGTGCCACTCAGGCACCCCCACACTGTTTATTTTCAATTGTGGCACAAAACACCTAAAATTTATCCTCTTACCCATTTTATTTATTTATTCATTTATTATTAAGTTTATTCATTTCTGACAGACAGACAGACAGACAGACAGAGCGTGAGCAGGGGAGGGGCAGAGAAAGAGAGGGAGACACAGAATCCAAAGCAGGCTCTAGGCTCTGAGGTGTCAGCACAGAGCCCGACGCGGGGCTCAAACCCATGAACCGCAAGATCACGACCTGAGCCGGAGTCGGAGGCTCAACTGACTGAGCCACCCAGGTGTCCCTCATCTTAGCCATTTTAAAGTGTACAGTTAAGTAGTGTTAAATATATTCACTTTGCTGTGCAACAAATCTCTAGAACTTTTTCATTTTATCAAACTGAAACTCTATACTGATTAAACAATTCCCATTCTCTCCCCTAACCCCTGGCAACTACCACTGCACTTTCTGTCTCTCTGATTTTGACTACTTTAGATCCCTCACTATATGGAATCATCTAGTGTTTGATTTTTTGTGCTGGGCTTATTTCACTGAGCATAGTGTCCTCAAGGTTCACCCACATTGTAGCATGTATCAGAATTTCCTTCTTTTAAGGCTGAATAATATTCCACAGTTTTTGATTACTATAGATTTGCAGTAAGTTTTGAAACCAGGAAGTGTGAGTCCTCCAAGTTTGTTCTTTTTCAAGACTATGGCTCTAGGGACCATCTTATAATTCACTCTCCTAGACCACTTGTGGCAGGAGGTGCTGAAGGGCTCAGTTCCCCAGCTGAGCCACAGACAGCAGGTAGGGGGAACTGGGACAGGGGCACCCATGCCTCAGTCTTCTTTCTGGATCCCATTAGTGACTTTCAGAACTCTCAGGATGAAAGGTCCCAATGCCATGTGGTTTCCCTCCTGGGCTGCTCAGGTGGACTCAAGGACACAGGTTTTTCTAAGCATGGACTGACAGCACAGGACTCAAAATCCTGGAGAAGAGTGTAATCTTGGTGATTGTAAGTGATGCAATAGCTAGACTTAGGGCCCTTATGGCCATCAGCATGTGTGATCTTCCCTAAGGTGTGGAGAGCTCTAGGGAGTCCTGCTTCCTCAGGTGCCCCTGGCCCTCGGTGGAGGATAGTGGGAGGCCCACCTTGGGAAGTGCAGGGGCTAGCCTGTGCCCAACAAAGCCAGCCTTGGGCAGGAGGGCGGCCTTAAACAGGCATCAAGGGTCCCTGAGGGGTGGATTCAGCCCTCAGAAGGTCTAGTGGAGAGACCAGGAGCCATGGGAGATGCTGACATTAAGGAAATGGGCTCTGGAGTCCTGGGGAGAGGCCCAATGGCAGGGGAGAGGAGGAATCTTGGCTGAGGGCCAGCGTATGGGGCCCCAAACCCCCACCTCACTGTCACAATAATTCTGTGCAAGTATCACAAGAGAGGAGCCCCCCACCCCTGCAGAGCCAGGATCTGAACCCAGGCGAGCCCACATTCGCTCCCCCTCCCCCAGAAATTCTGCTGCCAGCAGCTAAGCAAGTGGCTCCCTGTGTCCTGAGGGCAGTCTCTCCATAAAGGCCTGGAATGGGAAGTGGGGGGGGGGGGGGGGGGGGAGGCTCTGAACTGAACAGAGCTTTAGCTGGGGGCACTTGAAAGACCTGAGGGATCCAGAGTCAATATGCACAGCCCCCGGGGTCTCTCTGAAGGCAGGGATGATGGATGTTCCTGCCAGTTGGCCACTGAGCCAGAAGATGGCAATAGGAAAATGCCACTGCCAAGCCCACAGGCGGATTTTATGAAGAAATGTGTTGCTGTTAAATATATACAGCAGGAAGCATTTGTTACCAAACAGCTGTGTTTGGAAAGCAGTCGCTGCTTGTCAGCTAATGGTTCTGCATTAGTCAGTGAGAGCACCAGTTGTGTCCCCCAGATCTGTGGACAAGCTGATACCCAGGCCCCAGGACAATGGCATGTCCCAGACAGGGTCAGCCCCAACTCAGGCTCTCAGTGCAGTGAGGTATTAACAACCTACCATTCAAGTTGGGGTGACACCTGCTGCTCAGCAAAGGTCTCTGAGTGAAATAAGCAAAGAAGCCAGTGGCGCTGCCCGGATGCACCGGGGCCTAGGGTGTGGCAGCCTGGAGAGCTCCCGAAGCATACCTGGCACCCACACACAATTGCTATGTAAGGAAGGGGATCTCTTCCGGAATCAAGACCAGCATTCCATTTCAGAAAGCCAAGGAACCCAACCTGGAAATGCAGCTAACAGAAGAGCCGTGACAGAAACAGAGCTTGATGGCTGTGCAGGGTTTTCTGGGAAGGAAGCCAAGGCAGCCTCCATTCCCACCAACAGGGACGGCTGGATTGACCGGGATCCACCCTCCCTGTAGACCATCAGGATGACCAAAATGACCTGGGGGACATTCGACGAAATAGCAAAATGGCAAACTGAGCACGGATGCTCTAATGGTGGGGTAAGTAGTGGAGCAGCTAGGCTGGGGCGAGACTACCCAAGCCAGTCCCAGGCTATCACTCACCCCTGTGTGACCCTGAGCCAGGTATCTAGATGGAAAGTGGACAGAACAAGATCCCCACCTCCTCGGCCTGAGTACTTAGAGCCTCAGAAGTGATAGTCAATGGTGTGTGTGCCCGAGAGCTGGGAAATAACACACAAAATGGCTTTTGTTTTAGGCTAGCAGAGCTGTGGCTATCCCCTCTCTAATGTTTTTGACATAGATGCTGCTTTCTACTTTTAAAAAACTCACCCAGCAAGGGGACAGGTTGTGAAAACAGCACTATGCTTGGTACCGGGTGGGGCCCTTTACATGCACTGGTCCTTTGCGCTCAGACTAAAGCCATTTAATGGGGCTCTCCCTCAAATCTCTCTCCATCCAACCCCACATCTTCCCCTCCTTTCCACAGTGGCTGGTCCCTAATAGGCATCTTGCACTCCAAATTCTTTCATGGCATCGGCTTCTGGAGAAGGCCACCTGCTACTGTGTGGGGAAGATTTGGCTCACCCTGGGAAACTCCAAGTCCTGCTAAGAGCTGACCCCAGCTGGCAAGGGCTGCACAACTGCTTGGGGGAGCATCTGAAGAGGGGGATGCCCAAGGTTGGGGAGATCCAGATGATGGGTGCCAGTGTCCCTTCCAACTGAGACTCATGAGAGTTCCTGCGCTGGGCTCTGCTGCTCCCAAAAGAGGAAAAGAAGGAAAGTTCCCAAAGCAGCACCGGAACATGGTAGGGGGCAGGGGCAGTGTCAGCCACCCCTGAAGATTGCTGCAGAGGAGGTTTTATTAAAACCCAGGTCTGCCTGCCTGGGTTCAGAAGGCCTAGGGCACTAGAGGTAAGGTCCACTGCAAAATACAGGCTGTGCATGGAGGGACCCAGGCTGAGGCATGGCAGTTGCAGCCAGAAAAGTCAGATGCTCTGGAGAGACAATGCTCAGAGTGAGACCCCTTCCTTCACCAAGCCTGCCAACACCAGCTCCCCCTGTTCTGCTCTGACAAAAACCAACCAAACCCTGTGAGCATTTTGGGCAGATACAACTGTGACAGGGCACCTACCTGTGCCTAGCCCCCAAACAGAATTCTATCAAGTAACAACTTCCTGTCATGTAACCATTGCCAAGCCAAGATCCATCTCTCTGGCCAATTGTCCTTCCTGGTTCTTCAAAGGTCCCACAGAGGCTGGTGAGAAGGGGCCGGCAGAGGGCCTCTGGGAGGAAGATGTTTCTGAGCCAGGACCTGACTGAGTAAGGGAGCCAGATGAAAATAGAGACCACAGACAGACTCCAAAGGCTGCCCCTGCTTAACCCCACCACCCTGGCCCTCTCTGGCCTTTGCCCACACCAGTTTGGCTCACCCAACACTGCCAAATGCTCAGGCAATCTGCCTGATCTGGGCTCTCTCCCTGTCCTCCAAACTGCCACTGTCCCCCACTCTGCCACGGCCACCCTACAGGTTTCAGATTAATGGGTGCCTTCATGGTGCCAGAGCAGCACCCCCACTCCTGTGTGTATCCCATTATCTTCTCTTTAGCATGTGTCACAATGGGACTAGCTTTATTTGCTTGTTTCCGTGTTTTACAATCTGCCTGTCCCTTAGAATGTACCTCCATGGGGGCAGGCACCACGACCAGGACACTGTCTCCAGTGCCTCCCGGGTAAGTGAAGAGTGAAAGAACACACATGCCACACTCCCTGCACAGATGCTACCTGCCAGCAGAAGCCGTCTGGCTGGGAAGTCCCTGAGAGAGCTTAAGCCTGGGGCACAGCTGTTAAGAATCGCTACATCATCTGCTTTCCAAAAAGAGCTGGAGGAGGCTGTCGGCACCCAACCCCCATGCAGCAGAGGCTGTGAAGATGGTTCTGGCAGCTGTACTGGAGAGGCGAGCCCAGGGGCAGGATGATGGTGAGGAGGCCTCTCCGCAAGATGCGGCCAGAGGGGACAGAGCCTGCAGCAAAGCCCTGGGCCAGAGAGGAGGGGGATCTCTATAGGGCATCTGGGGATATGCCTGTGGGGCCATGCTGAGGAGGACAGGTGAACAGAAGTGGAGAGGAAGCCGGACAGTGGAGTAAGAGTCGCCACACTGGCCCTCACAGGCAAGAGCTGATGAGCCTGTAGGCCCTCACCCTTCAGCCCGCAGCAGTACCTGAGCCTGTGATCTTGCTTTGGGAGCAGCCCCTATACCCGCTCCTCCCTTGATCCCTCCTGTGACCCGTGGTCCTCACCAACTCTCACCTGGAAAGCTGGACCACTCTTGTGTGGACTCACCTCCTGCATCTCTCCTGTCCCACCCCTCCCATGCACCGCTACCCAAGACCTTTGGCAGCTCCCACCTGGGTTTGTTCTGCCCACCGACACTCAAGAGATGCTCCTGGGCCGTGGGAAGATCAAACCCCTCTCCCGCCCCCCATGGGCTGGCAGCTCGCTCACCCGGTGGGTCTTGCTGTAGGTGTAGAGGAAGGCCAGTCGGTAGAGGCTCTTATAGTGCTGGGGGAAGCGGCTGAGGCACAGGCGGAAGGAGGCAATGCACTGCTCGGTGAGGAACTGGCGCTGCTCTTCTGCCCCAGCCGGCAGCCCCTGGGGAAAGGCTGCGGGCTCCCCCAGGGTGTCCGCTCTCTTCCTCCCATCCCACAGGGCAGGTGCAGATGCTGGGGGTTTGGCAGCAATGCAGGCAGAGGCCGGGGGGTCTGCAGCAGGCTTCTGGCTGCCTTGCTCTGTGGCCCGGAAGCCTTCCGTGCTCTCCAAGGACTCCTCAGTTTTCCCTGTGGGTGAGAAGAAAAAGAAAGTCACCTCAGTTTTAATCCCTGCCCCCGCAGGAGTAAGGAGTAATCTTACTGAGGTGAAAGGCACAGCTAAGTCTGTGCCCTTGCTACGCAGCTGCTGGACCCAACAGACCCAGTAGGAGGCATGGGGCCTGGTGCTGGCTCTGCCCCTGCTGGCTGAGGCCTCCATAGCCTCCCACTCTCCTCCCCTGTGAAACAGGATGTCCCAGCTGGCATGCAGCAGAGGGGCCCCGAAGCTGCAGACGGTGGGGGTGGCAAGCGGGGCTCTGAGTCCCCCCTCTGAATGGCAGCACAAGGCTGTCCCGCCTCCTAGGCCTATGCAGGTGCATGGGGAAGCAGTCCACAGAAGGAAGGTGTGGCTGCCACAACCATGGAATAAAACAGCCAGGAAAGGCGCACAAAGAACTGCACCTGCTCTGCCGCTTAGCACCTCTGCCCACAGCCTACCCGACATCCTTCTCCAGAGCTGCTGCTGCAACTGTGCGTGAACCAAGAGCTCACACACAGGAGAGCCCAAGCTGGGTGGCAGGGGCTGCAGGAGAAGGAGACTGGCCCAGGAGGGAAGGATTGAAGGAAGAGGATGGGGGCAAGCAGTGAGGGGAAGGTGGCCTGTCAGGCACCCAGGAGTTTGGGAAGGCCTGCCTGGAGGAGGCCAGAGAAGTAGCCCAGCACTAATGCTGAAGCCTGTCAGCCACTGTGGGCTGAGCTCCTTCCTGTCCTCAGCCTGTCAACCTTTTCCAACTGTAGTGGCAGCCAAAAGGAGGCTGGGGCCTGCTGCGGTAGGGAAGAGTGGTCAAGGACTAAGGTCCCAAGTTCCCCTAAGCAAAACCATCATCAGGTTTAAGCAAAAAGACATCAGGTGCACATCGAGTTCTTTTTGCTAAGGAAAGAATCTGAGCAAGACAGAGCCAAGCTGCTCATCACAGCACGCAAGGCTACCTCCTGTCAGTCCTGTCATCCCTCCTACCTACCCTCTGGGCCTCACACCTTGAAACCAACCATTGGGAACATGGTTGTTCCCACTGGGAACACTGTTGTTCCTTTTGGACTCACCGTCTGCACACCCTCCCCTGCCTCACCCACTCGCTCTCATCCTTCAGGACTCCACTCACTGTCACCTTCTCCTGCAGGCCTCCTGGGCCCCAAGGTGGGGTTTGCAGAGTGCCTTGTGTGCCCACCTCTCTGATGTCACCGATCCCACTGCATTTATGCACGGGTGTCTCCCCCTCCCCCACTGCCCAGAGCCTAGCACAGGGTCTAGTTTGAAGCCGAATGAATGACTGAAAAGCAGGTCACATCTGATCTTGACACTGTGCTCTCTTCTCAGGGGAGCTCAGGAAACCACTTAGGTCCCACAGGCACCCCACTCAGAGCACAATGACAGCAACTAGGAGTCTGCTCAGGGCTGGCATCTTACGGGGACACCACTGCCTTACAAATGTGCCTGATTTCTAGTGTTCAATTCAAGGGACACATTTCAAATGTGGCTCAACAAACACGTTCTCAATGACTCTGGGCCCAGCCCTATGCTAGGCATAAGGGAGATGGGGAAATAGGATGAAGATAAAGACCTCCCAAGGGCTCAGATAAGGTGCTAAGTGTGTGCTCACACACAAAGACACACAGGAACACATCTCCTATGGACAGTGAGCACAGGGTCAAGAATTTATCCAAAGAGAGGTCAGAAGGCATGTCTGAAAACACATTAAAAAAGGGAAATGGGGCGCCTGGGTGGTGCAGTCGGTTAAGCGTCCGACTTCAGCCAGGTCACGATCTCGCGGTCCGGGAGTTCGAGCCCCGCGTCAGGCTCTGGGCTGATGGCTCGGAGCCTGGAGCCCGTTTCCGATTCTGTGTCTCCCTCTCTCTGCCCCTCCCCCGTTCAAGCTCTGTCTCTCTCTGTCCCAAAAATAAATAAACGTTGAAAAAAAAAAAAATTAAAAAAAAAAATAAAATAAAATAAAAAAGGGAAAAAAAGTAGTGATGCCAGAGTGAATGAAAAACCTAGCTACTCAGGGATCTGGGTGGCCTGAAGAGGTGCAGGAGACATGGGTGATGTGCCTCACACACAGTGTCCACTCCACAGCTGAAAGAGCCTCACAGGTCACATTAGTGGAAGAAAGGGGGGAAGTCAGAAACGTCAATAAGCCCACACAGTGCTTCCCAGCTAGGATGCCTAGTCCTAACCCTGGCAGCATAAAAGTGAGGAGACTTCGTCCTAAAGATAAAAAGCAAGCAAGGCAATGCTCTGGCCACTCTGGTGCTGCTGCTGGCAATGAGGACTGGCTTAGCATGCCCAGAGTGCACACATCAGGCCACCTCCCACTCTGCCACTGCCACCCCTGCCTTGTGCAAGGCACTCAGGCATCATCACCAGGCCTCTACTTGACCTAGAAGAGGCAGGTGCAGCCATGGGATGGTGGTCCCTGAACAAAGTGGCTGGTAGCTGTACCAGCACCCTTGGCCCATATCCTGCCCCGGGTCCAGGTAGCAGGGAGGGCCCGGGCTGGGCACCCGTGTCCACTGTCAGGACCACATAGGCTGTTGACAAACTATTCTGCCCTCAGAGTAATTAACAGAGTTCACTTCTGTTTAGAGAATGAAATTTGGGCAGCTTTTCCCTCTATTAAAAAAATAAACCTTGGGGCGCCTGGGTGGCGCAGTCGGTTAA